ATCCGGCAGCAATCCGACGAGAATGTTTCGGAGATAAGGCGCGACGCGGTTCGCGCGGCTCGAATGTTTCGCTGCCGATGCGCCGGTTTACGCGGCCGGATGACGGACAGCTGAAAGGAGCCCGAAAATTAATGCGGATCCATTAAGAGGCTTGTCTGCGCGCCGGCGGAGGGAAATCGATTCGAGCGTCCCGCCGTCTCTTTTGTACAATTAAGTGCTGCTTTGTTGATCCGCTGCGCGACTGCGGTTACGCCCTGTTGGCGAGTCGTTTACATTCCTCAGAGATGCTCTCGCTTTGCTCGGTGTGTCGGCGAGAGAGCTAGTGAAATGGGGTTGTAATATTATCATTTTAGAGACATCGAGAAACTGATAATAGCAACGTATAATGATTAGTCTTTAGGAGAGCTGGCGTTGAATTCAAAGAGAAAAGTGGTAGACGTGAACAAGAACGAAACTGATAACGATAAGTTTGGACTATATTATTTTGTATAGTTACTGTATTAGTTAACATTGTTATTATAATTTTACATCGCTATTACCATAACCAGCTGCAAGTCACCAGCCGAAAGCAAAGTAATTAACCTACTGCGCTGGAATAACGTATCAGGCGCGTCGAGATGTTTTTGTTCCAAAATTGCCAGACATCTTGTAAACATCGATAGTCTAGTCGTAGTACACATGCTAGATTCTTCCGAAACATATCACTCTATACAATACCACTAATCAATCACATTAGCGTACACACTTGTATAGAATATTCGAAAGCAAAGTCCTCGCAGACGACTGTGTCAAATCTCCGAACGAAATTCCAACGCAATAAGTTAAAGAACTTCGTCACGGTTCGCGAGAACTTACAATTCCTGAGCTCGCGAGAGCATCAAATCATCCGGTTAACTTCTATTATCGCGGGCGTACACTCGCTTAATAAAATCAGTGCTCGCGCTCACTTAACCGAACATGTCGCAGCGCGGCGAGACGCGCTCGGCGCGACGTTTCCCGGCGTATCCGCGCAAACAAGCTCGCCCGCGCGTGTTTGTTCTCCGCGTTTAATGCAAATCGGGCCTCGGACGGCGCGGCGTGGTTCCTGCGGAAAAACAACACCCCGAGACAACGCAGCGCGCGCCGTTCGCGGAGAACGGCGAATAGCTGGAGCGGCGAGGCGCGGCGCGGCGGGGTTTCCATTAACAACAATTGAAACGCGCGCTGCGAATACAGGTAAACTCCTCGGCAATAGTTGCCGAGCAAACAGCCGGCATGCATCCCCGAACTTCCACGCCGTTTCCGCTCGGCGGGGCTCGCGAACTTGGGATTTTCGGGCGCGGGCCTGTCCCCGAGCTGAAAACGCGCGCTGTTTGCCGCGCGCCGTCACGGAATTACGCGGTCTCGGTCCCCGGAACTTTGATCTCACCGCCAGCCACCGAGATTAACCCTTTGGCTGCGCCAGAATTTTGCGTCAACGCGGGTTCGGGAGGAAGTCTATTGAACTGAAAACACCGAATTGAACTTGGTATCAATAAGTAACGACTGCGCAACTGTTGCGAGGCAAATCGTGATGCGAAAGGTCGAAGTACGTTTAAGTAAAATAAATACGTCGGTACCGAAGTTACATATTAACTCGTTAACCCTTTGACTTCGGCGGAATTTTGCGTCAACGCCGGTTCGGAAGGAAGTCTATTGAAATGAAAACACCGAATTGAACTTGGTATCAGTAAGTTACGACTGCGCGACTGTTGCGAGACAAATCGTGATTCGAAAGGTTGAAGTGGATTTAACAAGTTCACTCTTTCCCATTTGGCGCCTGAATTCGGAAAATTGATAAAAATATTGAAATAATCAATAAGTAAATTAATTCTCAACTGTATGGCAATGTTTTCTAATTACCAAACCACTTGACGAGCCACGTATTTGATGCTACACACCATCTAATGAGCCAACACTGTCTAATATGATATCTTACCGTAAGCCACCGATGTTACATATTGCCTCGTTAACCCTTGGACTTCGACAGAATTGTTGTCTTTGAATTCTTGAGCGTGTTTCTAAGAAAGTGTACTGAAATGAAGACACTTTGCAATCGGAAGTTTGTCACTGGAAATGTTCAACGTTTTCTGGTGAGACATCGACGATGCTTGAAACTAATCAACGAGAATACAAAGATACTGCTTGAATATTTTACATATTGATGTATTAGCATGATTCCGCATAACACGAGGCTGTATCGATTTAAGCGACGCTTGACACTTGTTAGAAGAACATTGGAACGTATGTTCCTCGTGAACTTTAGTTAGGTCTTTATCCCGAACGGAAACGCGCGGAACAGGAAATAATTCGTGCATTACAATCGTGGCGACGAACGAACGAACCGCGTAATGAAGACGGTACTTTCCATTTAATCCCGATTCCCGTACGCTGGTTCGTAAATGTTTATGTTTACGTAAAAGTCTGCATTCTACAGATAAGAGGATTACTAGTAGCGAGCGTGTGCCTTCGCGGAGGGCCGCATGGAAGATTGTACGCCGTTGGATCGCGAGGTGAATTTACCGATGTCATAAATTCCCACTTTATTATTCCGTGTGCCCTGTATCACCTGCGACCGATTTTTACTATGAATATCAACTTCGCAAGCAGCCATTAATTCCGTTTAATTCGCGAGCGTGTCGCGCGTGTCCGGAACCGACGAATTCTAAATCAAACTCGGAGGTAGACAAACAACGAATATTCCAGCGTTTGAAACGGACAGGAGTCCGTTTACAAAGCGAGCCGACCGTCCCGTCCAACTTTCTCATTAAAAAACTAATAATGAGTGTCCAATCGCCGGGGATCGGTTCGCAGAGCCATAAAAAGGAAAATCCCAGGCAAACAATTTCCTCGACAGGGAACTCCGAGTGTCCTTCTTTCGGAACACTCTGATGAGTCTTCCGGCCGCGAGCCGCGAGTTCACGGGTCCACGGGATGCGTTTAATCCTCTTAGAGAAGCTGTAGCGCCGTTGCGACACGTTTTAATTGGAAAATTTTTATCGGCCCGCGCAAATAGTGTTTCCGCGATCCTATTAGAGGTAATGCGGCCGGGAATGGAAGGCGAGCTGCGGTAACCGGCCACTCTCTTCCACCGCTTTCCTATCTGATCGTAATCTTTCGAGTATTCGTATTCGATCGGGAAAGAAACGAGAAACGCCGGCCACGGTTCCGCGCGACGCGGTTGATCCCTTGTTTTATGATTTCTTTCGAAAATGCGCTTGATAGAACTGCTCTATCGTTTTCGTCGCGTATGTGCGTTCGAGTTGTAGGATAATATGCAGACTATCGAGGTGGAATATCTGTTTTATCTTTACCATACGGAATATTTCAATTTATAAATGAAACTTCTTTAACACTTTGTATTATTTCTTTCGGAAATGCGCTTGATGGAATTGCTCTATCGTTTTCGTCGCGTATGTGCGTTCGAGATGTAGGATAATATGCAGACTATCGAGGTGGAATATCTGTTTTATCTTTTCCATAGAGAATATTTCAATTTATAAATGAAACTCCTTCGTTAACACGTATTATTTCTTTCGGAAATGCGCTTGATAGAACTGCTCTATCGTTTTTATCGTATACGTGCCGTCGATTGCTGGGAACCGGGCACTTGTGACGTCATGGGGGCGGAGACAGTCGCTCCGAGAAATCCAATTGCGAGTCCGAAAGCGGCTCTTCGCGCTCTTTGCCGCGTAACCCGATTGATGGGCGTGAGCGCTTCAGCCAGTCAGGCGTGCGCCTTCGGATCTGACCACTCAGACGAGAGTGCCAGGTTCGATGCAACGGACGGTACGTCTGTGAAACGTAGGATAATATGTAGATCATCAATGTGTAATATCTTTTCTATTTCATCGTTACCGTAATGAATGTTTCAATCGTTAAACGAAAGCTCCTCGTTAACCCCTTGTATGATTTCTTTCATAGCTTGATGGAACTGCTGTATCGTTAATAATTTAGTGGAGAAAGAAATGTCATTACTTCGTGTCTACGTTTAATCGGAAGGTTGAAGATCAATAATAGTAATATTTAATATACGAAATAGAGAAGTGAATAATATTTAGATTCGTCGAATTCGGCTGAAAATGTTCATCGCTCGATATCATAGGAGAAGGGGTTAATTTATAATCGGCTGATTCGAAATTTAAGCCGCATTGCGGCGTCACTTCGCGTGAATCTCTGTTCGAAAGCTGGGAATTTTATTTATATTTTCTGTCCGCGTTTTATTATTCGCGTTCTCGGTTGGTCGCGTTTTATTCCAGTTTCCTGTTCTTTGCACCTAACCAACGTTGTACGCTGGATTTACCGTGGTAATAATAAATATCGAATCTGTTGAAAGAATTATTTTGAAAGGAGTCCCCGTTGTTCGGTATTTTTGTTATTGTTTTTGCTATTTATGAGATTACGTTATTTGGATTAACGAAGTGGATTCAATAAATATCACCGTTGCTCGTTGCGTATAAATCCTAGCGAAGGATTATTTTGTTACTGTCAATATTGACACTTCAAATTTCAAATTATTTCTTCTGTAACAATGAATAGCATTGATCATCACTGTTATTCGTTACTTATAAATCAGAATAAACAATTGCTTCATCGCTACCAGCACTGACATTATAAGTTTCAATTTACTCTTACCACGATAATAAATACAATTTAACCTTTTACACTCCAGATTCGCCTCTCACAACTGCTTTGTCACAGCAAAATTGTAGTTTGATATTTAACATTGCAAAGCTTGATATCTAGTATGCGAAGTATTGAAAGAAAATAGTTTTCATACTCTTCTTTCAATTTCAGCAAATCTCATCTGCATCTCATTAGAAAATATTATTTCCAGTGAACAATTTCTGGAGTGCAAATGATTAAACATTATTCGTGTACCTATACAAATAAAAACGAAATATCACTTCATTGCCAGCAGCATTGAAACCAAAGAAACTGTTCGAACCACAATTACACCGATATTTTCGTTCGATTTTCAGGGAAACATCTGCCAGTGGCCATTACTACATTCACAGGCGTCCCACGAACACAATAATTCACGTACGTAGCATCCAATCATTACTTCCCGGTACACTCTCATCGCGGAGAAATCAGCCGCGCATGGAACGGCCATTTCCGCCATTATAATATAAATTCGATTCGATCGGAAAAATTGGTTTCCGATTCCGCGGGGAAGCGTAGCCGAACTCCCAATCGTCGGACGCGGCGAAATAGCAGAGGTCGGCCGTTTCCGGGGGTCGCGAGCCGGCGTAAAACTCCCATGAAAATCCGAACTCCATCTGTAACAATCTGCCGGGCTGTTTACGCGCCGATCCGCCCGCGGCCCTCTATAAAAACGCGATATACTCGAGGAAAACGCAGCTGGGAAGATCGTACCAGATTTACGCGCCTTGATTCTTCCTCTGCGAGTTCTCGATTCGTGTACAGTCCCCGATGAAAAAATTAGAGCCACCATGGTTAGCTTTGACAACAGTTTTCGCCGTGATAATAGCATTGAATATTCAAAATATAATTCAGTAACAATTTCTTCGCCGTAGTGTTAATCGTTTGTCCGGAAGCGTTTCACTGGCGATACTCAACACTTTCTAATGAGATCATCTAATGAAAATCATTTCTGTTAAAGTAAAATTGATTTGTATTGGAGTAAATCTATTTTATTAACACTAACACTATCGGATAGATCAAAACAAACCATTCCCGATGTCAACTTTTCGCAATTATTAGAAAAATGACAGACGTTCCTCTGAGGAACTATTAAAGAAATTGATTTAGAAATACGAAAACTGAGTTGTGAATCAATTAAAGTCTCAATAGATGCACTCGTGGAGTTTCTATAAAGGAATTTTGAAAACCAATTTCACTGTTCGGTAGTTTCAGTGTTAAAAAGTATCAAACTTCACAAGTTTTTATGAAGAGCGATCAGAGAAGAGTCAGATTGCTGGTTGATTTCCGATCTTCTCGAAGATTACATCGATGCTATGATTTTGCCGAGGGACTGTGATAAGGTTTGGTACGAAGGAATATGAAGGTCCGAGCGTTCACGTGCGTGCTTTATTTACGGGACGCGGATCGCGAGATTTTATTGCGCGAAACGTTTCCTTCGGGTATCCGCAGATATCCGTTTTATCCGCGGATGGCTGGGTCGCCGGGTCCGGCCGGCATCTTTTCATTCTACTCTCGTATCGCCACCCTGTATTTATGACGTCGACGCGGAGACCGTAACTTCCGGTCACCGTGGCACGCCCGTATCGCGGTATATTCCGCTGCGGAAAAACGCGATCGGCCCTCGCTCCGATGCCCGCCGCGCATCGCGAATATCTGCATCGGAGGATTTTGGTGCCGGCGCTTTCGAGCGATCGTGTTATTTGCGTTAAATTTCAGTTTGATCGCCGATTCGATTTTATCGAGCGTATTGCGGAGTTTTTAGTAAGTTTAAATTTTTTAGGAGAAAGAGGCGGTGTTCAATATCTATTTTGTATAGAAGGTTGCGATATGAACTAGATTTGAATTAGCGAGTTCGATCGGTAATTTGATGTTAGTGAACACGTCGAAGGTGTTTAAGCGAGTTTGTGTGTTTACAGAGAAATTTGAGGATTTTGTGTTGCATGGAATTCTCAGTTTTCTTCAAGCAAAGTATCATACAAAGGTCAACCGAATCCATTAATGCAAATGATCGAGTCAATCGACGACACACAGAAACTCGATGCAAAATAGCTTACTTCCAGTTCCCACTTGAAAACATCTCAACACGTAGAGTCATCCTTATTTATACCGACAACCGAGTCCGTTAATTACCGCTTTTTTCGCCGCGGCGAGGATAAAAAAATTCCGTCGAGGAAAGTCGGCGCGCGTGCTCGCGCTCCATTCGTAATTATTTAAACTTTCGCCGCGGCTGGGAATCGGTTTTAATTAATTCGAACTTTTAGCGGAGCGGAGCTCGTGTCGCTGGATTAGGCGATTTAACCCTTTGCACTATGATTTGTTTTTGTGAGGAAGAAAAAGTGTTTCATTCCTTAGTAGAATTGAAATCTATTTCGTGATTCATGAGAACAAGAATCAAATTTCACAATCATTCTGTCTACGTTTACGCTGAAGTATCGCAATTGATGATGGAAGAGTAATATTTAATCTGAACTTGAAAGACTTAAGTGTCATAGATTTTTATTGATTCTATTTGAAACTTGAAATCTTTGAAATCTGTCGAATGTATTTGAATCTTGAAATCTATGAAATTTGTCGAATCTATTTGAAATTTGAAAGCTTTGAAATCTATCGAATGCATTTGAAACTTGAAATCTTTGGAACCTATCGAATCTATTTGAAATTTGAAATCTTTGAAATCCACCGAATCTATTTGAAATTTGAAATCTTTGAAACCCATCGAATCTATTTGAAATTTGAAATTTGAAATCTTTGAAATTTATTGAATCTATTTGAAATTTGAAATCTTTGAAACCCATCGTATCTATTTGAAATTTGAAATCTTTGAAACCCATCGAATCTATTTGAAACTCCGAACTTCGAAATCATCAAAACCTATCGACTCTATTTGAAATTTAAAATATTCGCCACAAGTCTGACACGACGTCGCATAGCGAGGGGTTAATAAACCGAATTTCGTCGACGAATTCCATGGATTTCGCGGGACGGGGGAATAAAAACGCGGCGACGTGGATATCCGGCCGCATGGCCACGCATTCTGATGGCGGCCGGCTCCGTCCCAAGCCGGATGGGTTCGACAATCGTGCGCTGGCCGAAACTTTCGTGGACGATTCCCATGTAAATTGTGTTTTCCCGGAATTTCGCGCCGCCGCGGTGTCGCACGGGCCAGCGGACTTCTTCCCCCAAGTAATTTCGAAGGAAGTTTGATAAACTCGGCTACGATCGGAATATTTTCGAGGGTATACATCGCCATCGGAACTTTCTTGTCTCGACGAAGTAACCAATTCTCTGTTTGCGGCCGAGGCATCGGAACGTGGCCTTCGATCTCCCCGCGGAATATATCCGCGTTCATTGTAATACGGCTACTAGAACGGAGGGAATACATGTTTGCTAATGTGGACAACGTTCCCGCAACCAGACGGAAGATTGTTCCATTCGATTGTTGCCTCCTTGGGATCTCAATTTTCCGCTAACCGCAGTGAAATGAATTATTACCTCATGTATCGCTGGCTTTCTTGCCTGGAAGGGATCCTCTGGAATTAATTATCTATCTGCGGAGCAGTACATTAGATTTACTTGCCCGTGATTATTAGATTTTCAATTCCAGTCCGAAGATGGTAGGTTCTTCATTATTTCACTGTGTATCCTACGTTTCCACGTTCGAACCAGAGATAAAACTTTCCTATGACCTAATTAACCTCTTCTTTTAGCAACCGAGGAAGCACGAATGCATACTTTATGATTCCTTCTTCAGAAGTCTAATTAAACTTCACGAAACTCAGCCAGATGTAACGAGAATATTAACTTCGAATAATCTACCCATATTCCCTTTCCTCAAACCCGGTGCACCCAAGAAACCCCCATTTTACATCGAATACGTGTAAAAACATCGAGAAAACCAGGATGAAGCTGTCGAAATTTCTCACCTCGGGCAGACCGGCGCACTGAGAGTATCTCGAGTCGTTTGACGGTTACCACTCTTTTTTCTCTAGTATAATAGAGTTCCCCCGGTTCTCCAGAATCCAGAGCATCAGCGGCGGCGGCGGTGGCAGCGACAGCAATTAAAACCCAGGGGCCCTTTGATCGTCGAGCGTGACTGCGTTTCGAAGCGGGCTTCCCGTTCGGCCGCGCCGAATCACGGGAAAACTGAACAAACGGAAGCCTCCGTGCAACGGAATAACGTCCCCGTTTCATCGCGGATTTTTTTAAGTCCCCCATTCTTCCAGCCAGACCCGAGTATTATCCCTGTTAATTAAGCAGTTTCAGCCACGAGTGTTTCACCTCGCGTCCCGGCCGAAACGCGGACAATTCAAGAAGTTCCCCGCGGAGCTCAGACATTTTTTGCGCTCCCAGGCGGGTGGGCCGCGTTCTACCTGGTCACCTTCGTTCTCGCTGGTTAATTATTCTCCCTGTCGCCCCTGGACATTCCAGTTGGCGAGTGGATCGGATTTTTAGAATAATGTTTCCTTTGGAATTAACCCCTTCGCTGCTAACGACTATAGTCGCCCGAGGCCCGACGCTTTGTTTCGTGTTTCTCGATCGAATCCGTGGGGTTTATTTAACGATAGAGCTACGGAGTAGTAGGATCGAAGTGTAATTCGTACGTCGATTGTAATAATAGATTATTTTCAGTTTCTTGTTTCGTGTTTTTCGATCGAATCCGTGGGGTTTATTTAACGACAGATAAATTAACGATAGAACTACCGAGTAGTGGGATCGAAGTGTAATTCGTACGTCGATTGTAATAATAGATTATTTTCAGTTTCTTGTTTCGTGTTTCTCGATCGAATCCGCGGGGTTTATTTAACGACAGATAAATTAACGATAGAACTACCGAGTAGTAGGATCGACGTGTAATTCGTATGATCGTAATAATAGATTGCTTTCAGTTTCTTCAGAGGTTAATGACAGTATTCGAGATCGTTTCGAATATTCCATGCTTTTAACACTAGAACTACTGAGCATTTAATACGATTAATATGTAATCCCTATAAAAATTGTAAGAATTGATTATTATCAATTTCTTCAGACATTCATTATAGTATTTAAGTGGAACTATTTACTTTCAAGATCATTTCGAATGTTCAATGCTTTTAAGATATCAATAATTACGAAATAAAAACGTTGAAACCAGTCATTTTGACTGGTAGTTCTAGTGTTAAGGCATCAATAATTGCGAAACAAGGGAACTGAGGCCAGTGATTAATGTAGTTAACACTGACGAACAATTGTTAAGGGAATAGTATAAATAACAGCTTCGCAGTTGATTACGCGGTGAATATAGATCAGCAGAACGTCCAGGAAAGGAAGTGCGAGTCGACGACGACGGTAACGGGGTTGCTCCGTTCCCCAACGGCAGCGCGCGATCTGCTTACGAC